TCTATCTGTGGGGAAGAACGGGTTTTGACCTCACCACATGTGTGCGCTGCTTCTATCTTTGCCATAGGAATACAGGAAACCACCTTATTCAGAGTCAGACCAATGGTTCACCTAGCTCACTATAGTCTACACTGACTGGTAGCAGTTCTTAAGCATTTCAGGCTGAAAGGCTTTCCCAGGTCTGCCTGAAGATGCCAGGGACTGAACTTGCTTTACCACTGAGCAACCATTAACTCCTACAGAAGAAGTAAAGAGGTACATCCAGTAATACCCAAGGGATAAGGGGCAGGATTGTCCCTGTCAGCTGTGCCCCAGATTCAATTTCCTGGACATAGGAACGTAACACAAATAAAGTAGGAACAGAGATAAAAATGAACATATTTCCTTTCAAGGATTTATTTTTCTAAACAGGACCAAACTGTGCTTTTACAGTAACTATATCTATCAGAATTCAGATTTTCCTGATCTGTTTTCTGTGTTGCCGAGTTCCAAAAAAAGCAGGTTGTATTGAGTTAAGAGTCACCATCTGGAATTTTATAGTTTAAAAATGATCCTACAGCTGCAGCCCTGTAGATAAATGCTGCCTGGGAATTCACAAAAGTTTACTACAAAATGTATTCAGCTTTAGTGGAAATAAGGTTTGGAGGTGAAATGAAACAGGAGGATTATCAACTTCAGAAAATGAACTACATAGCATAGACCAGATCCTACAAACTAAAGCTTTATAAAATGAATCCATGCTTACATAAATACCCAGTGGCATTTGTAATAAAATAATTCCTGGCTACAATGCTTGTAACAGCAAAATGTGCCCTCCATTATAAATTTCTCATTAATATTTGATGTAGACAATCTATTATCATTATATAGAAACACAGAAAGTTGAGATTAATCCTGAATCATAACAATAGCTAACAGTACAAAATGCATTTTGTCACCACACAAAGCTTAAAGCCATGAACTAAAGTTTATTAAAATCTGCTCTGGAGTAGAATCTGTTTTACTAATCCTCTACTAATATATTTTTAACATTTTAAAGGAAGTCATAAAATGGAAACAAGTCCTAAACACCTTCCCCAGCAATAAAATATTCAATGAACAGTGAAATTTTCATTTTAGTTTCTAAGTGAAGCAGAAGCCCTCTCTGTAATCTAGCTAACCATATATCTTACATACATTGGAGTCTGGAATTCCTCCAAGTACTTAGTACTCAGAAATATAAATTTCCACAATGCTGACTATTAATGAGCAATGCAGTGTCACAGTAAGAAGTTATTATGACATGTTTCTCATTTTGCTTCATCATGTGTATTACAGTGTCTACATAGTAAACTATACAAAGTATATTTTTGTTTCTGACTTTGTATAAGAGCTCAACTCCTGTCTGGCTTGTAGAGACCGTAGGGAATTGATGGCTCCAGTATTAGTTGTCAAGTCTTTCTTCAGGTGCAGAATTTCAGTAGAGATTAAAAGAAGCTAATGTTAGCTCTATGCTCATGAAAACAATATTTGATGTTAACAGCATGAGAAACTCTACAGCTATGTTCCAGCTCCATTTTAAACAAAGCCAGTGCAGCAGAGCTAGGAGGCTAGTATAAATCCATATACTATTAGAGTGGTATTCAACTAACTTAATCAGAGTAGAACTATTGAAATTAATAGACCTAACTTAGTCATGTTCAGTAATTTCAATGGGTCTACTCTGAGAATATGAATATGAATATGAGTGTGTGTGTGATTTCTATATCTATATCTATATCACTTCTGAACCCTTCCATCTACTCTGTCTCTTTGGACTCCCTTGTCCTAGCCTAGGTAGACAGAAATTTATTCTCCCTCCCGCCTATAACTTTGTAGCAGAAAGTCACCCAATGACATTAATGGTAAAATAGATTCAGGACAGAGAAAATAAAGTCCTTCTTCACAAAATGCATAACTAAAGATTGTAATTCACTGCTGCAATGGCTGCATCCACACAATCAAATCCTAGCTGAATAAGCCAGGGTATGCAAAAGTTGCATATACCTATAGAAAATATTTGCTGCCACTTCATTTTTAACCTTTTATGTGAGCAGAAAAACAGGCCTGGAAGCCACGGCTTACCACGGCTTCCTCTTATATGTGTACCAGAAACTACAGTTTGTGGCTTCCACACAAGTCAGGATTTTGAAATCAATTTCTCAACTCTGGATTGTTTGGAAGTTATGGTACCCAGGTCAGATAAAATGGGAAGCTATAGTTAACTGCACATTTCTAGTTTATTTTACCACTTCACAGAAGCAAAGCAGCAGCTAAGGGGTTGCATGCACATGCGCTGTAATATCTGCTTCTGAGGACTACTTGCTGATGAAATCTATTAGCTAGCTGGCAGGCACAAGGGAGAGAGGGCTTTTTTGGCAGTTGGGATCTGACAACCTCCTGCAAGCTTTTAAAGGTAAAGGTAAAGGGACCTCTGACCACTAGATCCAGTCGTGACCGATTCTGGGGTTGCGGTGCTCATCTCGCTTTATTGGCCGAGGGAGCCGGCGTACAGCTTCCGGGTCATGTGGCCAGCATGACTAAGCCGCTTCTGGCGAACCAGAGCAGCGCACGGAAATGCCGTTTACCTTCCCGCTGGAGTGGTACCTATTTATCTACTTGCACTTTGACGTGCTTTCGAACTGCTAGGTTGGCAGGAGCAGGGACCGAGCAACGGGAGCTCACCCCATCGCGGGGATTCGAACCACCGACCTTCTGATCTGCAAGTCCTAGGCTCTGTGGTACTATTTACTGATGCCTTCCCATCACGTTAATCGAGCTGCTGTTATTGCATTATTCTATTTTGTTATTTTATGGGATGGGCGCGGCTCTTTAAAGAGTGCACGGCTCTTGCTGGCTTTTCTGGGAGGAGGGAGAAGGGACAGAGGGCAGCCCGTCCGTCCCTTCTCCCTCCTCCCAGAAAAGCCAGCAAGAGCAGCAGAGCCTCCCGCCTGCATTCGCATCTGGGTTGCATACAGGCTCTGCTCAGCCCTCCCTTTAAAGAGCCGCGCAGAGCATGTGTGCGGCTCTTGCTGGCTTTTCCCCGAGGAGGGAGAAGGGCAGCCCGTCAGTCCCTTCTCCCTCCTCCCGGAAAAGCCAGCAAGAGCTGCACACAGGCTCTGCTCAGCCCTCCCTTTAAAGAGCCATGCGGAGCGTGTATGCAGCTCTTGCTGGCTTTTCCCCAGGAGGGAGAAGAGCAGCCTGTCAGTCCCTTCTCCCTCCTCGGGGAAATGTCAGCAAGAGCCGCACACACGCTCCACGCAGCTCTTTAAATTGAGCGCTGAGCAGAGCCTCCCACCTGCATTTGCTCCATAAGACACACACAAATTTCCCCTTACTTTTTAGGAGGGAAAAGGTGTGTTTTATGGAGCAAAAAATATGGTAAATATCCTGGTTTATTAAGCCAGAATTTGATTGTGTGATCTGGGCCACTATGTCATGATGGACCCTAGTTTAGGCAGCTGTAAAGTAGGATTGGGCAAATTAATTGATTGCTAAATTGAGCCAATATTACTTTGAAACAGCACATAAATCAAATTACAATTGAAAATTTGATGCTTCACAGTAATCTTGTATACTTAATGGACTAAAAAGTTTGTGATTGCCTGTTTCTGAGCCCAATTCCTTCTCCCTACCCACAGTCAAATGCTTGAGATTCTACAATGTTTATGAATGTTAGAAATACTATATAGTTACATTTAAATATTACTACAGTCCTGACTTAGTTTAATGAACCACTTATGGCTCACTAGTATAAAGAATGCAACCAGCAATTAAAGATCATTAAAGAGCATAGTGTTTTTAAAAACAAACAAAAATATTAATATATCTGAACGTTAAAAAGTACACTTCTTTACATCCCAGTTACAGATAGGTAGCCGTGTATCTGAAGAAATGTGCATGCACACGAAAGCTCATACCAAGAACTAACTTAGTTGGTCTTTAAGGTGCTACTGGAAGGAATTTTTTTTTGTCTTTACATCCCAGTTACTGTTTAGTGAATGTGACATCATTAATTAATTGCTATTTTTTCATGTTGCAACTACAAAACAATGCCCTTTAACACATTCAAAGTAGGAGAAAAAATGTGCAAAAGGATACTTTCAGCTGTTGAACATTATTTTTCTTTATACGGTACTCAATAGTAAAAAGGGTGGTGCAGGAGTGCATCCTGCTGGACTTTAGTAAAACTGCAGTTAAAAATTACAGTTAAATTTCTATTTCTTTAAAGTAGTACAGATAATAACCCCAAAATCTAATATGCAAGAGCATTAAAATCAAACATGGTAAATACTGAACTAAATTGTTTTCAGAAGACAAGTGAGGCAGGAACCAAGTCTTACCCTCTTATCAAACCTGATGTTTTCTGCAATGGATCTGGAAACTTCAATAACAGCACCTGACCCTTTAGTCAGCTGCCAAAATCCAATTTTAAGGTCTTTTAATATTTGAGAGCAGGATTTGCTTCAGGAGAAGTAAATGTCAGATGTGCTGGGCACATTACTCAGAGAGAAGGTGTAAATTTGGGGTTATTAATGGTTGCTTTAATGGAATGAACTTTTAAGATAGGTGAGCTAATATTAGAAACTAGATCCCATTGGCCAGATACAATGGAGGGTAGTGTTCAAGCGGGGCTATTTCCTTCTAATGCTCCTTCTTTGGACATTTCCCAAGAAATGTAACTTTTTCCAGCTTTCACTATCTTTCCCCATTTCTTGGTGATCCACAAAGCCTCTGTATGAGAATCTTCCTCACTTCAAACAAAAAATTACATCCTCTTCACATAGTTTTTTTTAAAAACAAGACTTGTATCTCTATCAGCACATCAGATAAAACATACTTCTGATAAAGGGTCAGCTCATGCATATCTCAATAAGGATTCATGTAATTTTAAAATCTCTCTCTCTCTCTGCTGTCCCCTATTTGCATCAGAATGCCTTGGATCTATTAATATGAACACACTGAAAAGGAAAAAAACTTACTGATATAGTACTCTTGCACGCTGCTTGTGTAACCATATATGACAGAGTAACCAAAAATCACGACCATGACAACATCCCTGCTATCCAGCTCCACTATGTGTGCAGAATGACCCTCAACCGCATATTGCTGGCCATGAACAAGTACTGCTGGAATTCTGGTACTCCACATCTGACTGGGTATGTTGAAAATCCATAATTCATCAGTGACATTACCAGTATTTGTTTCAATTTTGCCTCCATACATGTAAATGTCATCCTGTTTGAAGGGGGGGGAGAGAGAAAACAAAATGAAATTAATACAAATGTCAAAAAATACAAAGCAAAAACCAGCAAAATACTAAAATTGTGATAATGTTATGCTATGGAAATGACACTGGCTTCTAAATTACACTTAATTTATAATATATGTAATAATTTAATTTATAATACATGTAAATCAGCTCTTACACGCAACGGACATAGTCCAGTGTTTACCCTTCAGAACCCCTGGGTATCCACTGGTTTCTAGTTCCACTCTTCATTTTATTGTTATTCGAAGTTTAGTATAAACTGCACTCATCTTATCCCTCCCTATTCTCTCTCGGTACATCAACAGATACACAGTGAGAAAACAGCCCCCCTAAAATCACGATTCCTCAGAATAATGCTTCAGCTGCAAACCCCACCATGAGGTAGGCCTTCATCTCTATCCACATAGGCGTTCCTCTGTTACGCTCTTGCCCTTTGAACTATTGTCTTTTCCCATACATTTTGTTGTTTGTCGGGAACAGTTCACAATACCCATGCCACATTCTATTCTCTATTCCCATATGCTTCCGTCCTTTATGAAATATGGTTCCTAAACAATTCCCTCGAAATATATCTAAATTAAAATGCTTCAAAGCTGAGATTAATCTTTTGGTTAAGTAATCTCCCAGTTAATAGCAACTGAATGTTGGAATGAATTTTGCTTGCAGTAATAGGTGAATCTGAGAAGCAGATTGTCCCCAACCAGTGTTGCCTGCATCAGCTGCTAGGGGAACTTGATTACATATCTCCTCATTAAGAGAAAAACATGTAGAATTCATTTATATTGCATTCCAATATAACAAACACAAATTTAAGTTGCAATCGTATAGCCATTTACTTGGGAGTACGTCACATTGAACTCACTTCTTCCAAATTAAAAGTATTTACTATCTAATGGTATAATAATGTAATAATGAACATGTATGATATAACAGTTTAGGTAAAAAAGCAGTCTTCAAAACAAAGGAATATAGCTCTGCTACAATCCTATGCCTGCTTACCTGGGAGTACACTCCACTGAACTCAGTGGAACTATTTCTGAGTAGACGTTTGAAAAAATATATAAAGGAATGTGAGGACACCTTGCTCTTTTAACTTAACTTCATAGAACTGTAGAGTTGGAAGGGACCCCAAGTGCCACCTAATCAAAACCCAACTTGCCCTACATCTTTGACAATACTGTTTGTTTGTTTGTTTATTTATTTAGACCATTCTATACTGCTTAAGTGGGACGCGGGTGGCGCTGTGGGTAAAAGCCTCAGTGCCTAGGACTTGCCAATCGAAAGGTCGGAAGTTCGAATCCCCGCGGCGGGGTGCGCTCCCATCGCTCGGTCCCAGCGCCTGCCAACCTAGCAGTTCGAAAGCACCCCCGGGTACAAGTAGATAAATAGGGACCGCTTACTAGCGGGAAGGTAAACGGCGTTCCGTGTGCTGTGCTGGCTCGCCAGATGCAGCTTGTCACGCTGGCCACGTGACCCGGAAGTGTCTGCGGACAGCGCTGGCTCCCGGCCTATAGAGTGAGATGAGCGCACAACCCTAGAGTCTGGCAAGACTGGCCCGTACGGGCAGGGGTACCTTTACCTTTATACTGCTTAAAGCTAAGGCTCCAATACTTTGGCCACCTCATGAGAAGAGAAGACTCCCTGGAAAAGACCCTGATGCTGGGAAAGATTGAGGACACAATGAGAAGGGAACGACAGAGGATGAGATGGTTGGACAGTGTTCTCGACGCTACCAGCATGAGTTTGACCAAACTGCGGGAGGCAGTGGAAGACAGAAGTGCCTGGCGTGCTCTTGTCCATGGGGTCATGAAGAGTCGGACACAACTAAATGACTAAACAACAACATACAATGGTACCTCGGGTTATATACGCTTCAGGTTACAGACTCTGCTAACCCAGAAATGGTACCTCGGGTTAAGAACTTTGTTTCAGGATGAGAACAGAAATCGTGCTCTAGCGGCGCGGCGGCAGCTGGAGGCCCCATTAGCTAAAGTGGTGCTTCAGGTTAAGAACAGTTTCAGGTTAAGAACGGACCTCCAGAACGAATTAAGTACTTAACCCGAGGTACCACTGGACTGCGTAAAACATGAAAGTATCTCTTGGGGGTGTACAGAAAACTAAAACAATAATAAGTAACTTAAACAACAAATTATTAAAAATGTGCATTGTTACATATATCAGACCTGTGGGTATATGGCTGTATATAAATTCAATAAAAAATTTAAAAAAGAATATTACATTGATACAAATTGCTAACAAATATAGACCAAGATCAATTCCTACTTATTCTGACACATCTCTCCCTCTCAGCCTCCCAATTCACCCAGAGCCCAAACAAACTCATAATTCCCCCACAATATCTCACAACCGGGTTCCTAGAAACTGCTGACAGCATCCTAGTCTCTCACTGTAGGCTTGTTTATATGAGCAGGCAGCAAGGTGGATGGAGTTTCCTTAGGCTGCTGCAAACTATGTCTCATTCAACAGTTAGCTGTGCTGCACACCCCAGTTCTAGACTACAGCAAGTTTGGTTTGGCAAGTTTCCTAGAGGGTCCTAAGGATGGCAGATAGGACATCCCTCCACTCACAGATCTTCATCTGGCCTCTGCATATCACTTCTCCTCTAGCTGCTTACTAAGGAGAGATGAGTGAGTGTTACATTATTATCTGATTGTGGGGGGTGGTAGTGGGGGAAGTTGCTCAATATACTGAGAAGCCTTTCTACATGGCAAGCTAATGAATATGCTTGAAACAAATGTATACAGCTGTACTGTCTCTGGAAGAATTGATTCATTCTCCTATCTTCATTGCTCTTTGATTCTTGTCAATCAGCAGGTGGGCGGGAGAGACTTAGCAGTGGGTGAGATGGGACCTGGAGAAAGACCATAGCATAGACATAGGTATCTAATTAAATTGAAAGTTAACCAATCCCAATCAGATGAATTGGTACAAAGTTGAGAAACAGGACTCTCCTGATTTTCATTGTGTAATACAAATGGTCACTTTTGAATTTGCTTGAGTCACTGTCTTATAAAATTCAATTCAATTTAATGTAACTGAATTTTTTTTAATTGGAGGTGACATTGGCTAAATCCAAGTCTTCACTTCCTCACAGTTCTCATCCTTACGACCTCTAGAAAAAGGCTTGGAAACACTCCATGTTTCTGACTGCTACAAGAACCCAATGTGCAAACTCAAAAAAACAAGCCAATTTCGAGGTGAACTTGCCCATTATTGATGGGCAGTGATGAATTAACCACATCACCTTGGGCCATTGCAGCAATTGTTATTAACTTTTAATTACTGCTATTCAAATCTCAGCATGACTTAATTGTTCCTTTAATTACCAAGAGAGGTCATAAGTGATTATCAATTGCTCTTTTACATTTCCTCCCAAAGCTACAAACTGTAGAATGTACTACTGTACTGCAGAACAACAATGTCACATGTGTGGGCTATGGATCTGAAAGAGCGAGGAAGAGGTCTGCATGAAGTGACTCAGCCTGGGCTCTTCCTGTCAGTGTCTGAAATTAAACTTTTCTATCTCCACACAGCCATTCATGTCTACCAACCCTGAACGTATTTCCAGGGCCAGATCCATCAAAAATCTGTCTCTTCCTAAAAGATGGATAGAAACGACAATTTAACCAGCTACGTTTCCCTTGTCGAAATGCTGGATTACAGTAAAAAGGCATGCCTTGAAGAATTTGCCTTTCACTGCAATTCAAAGATGTAGGTAATTCCAGTGATGAAGACTGTACAAACCTATGAGCTTCCTGACTTACTGCTTACAGTATTTCATCATTCCTTGCCTGACCACTTCCTTCCTATAATCCATGTATATAGCCTCTACTGGCCACAGGCCCATATTCTGCTTTGCCACTCTCTTCTTTTAATTCATGGTGCCTGCACCACCTGCTGTTTTCTCAGCTACCCTGTTTCTCAGCCTTCCTATTACTCTTGTCACATTGTTTAGCAATTCTGACTCTAAGCAGGCCTGAGTCTACTCCTGCCTCTCACTGAAGCCAAGCCATTCAACTTCTTCTGTCCTGTAAAGTTTTCCATGGCCATCCTGGCACCATTTCATTAACCACTTCTTTTCTCACCTACATTCCATCAGCAGCCTGGCTTTTAAGTATGCTGCCTGCTTTGAGTGAAGGGCATAACTCAGAGCAGAACATTTCCACTTCAATTATAGACTGTTATAACATTTTCTTGTTTCCATTACATGCTTTTAAAACCATTTTCACTTCTCCCACACAATCTCAATCTAGATTATTGCAAAACACAATAATCAGGTACAGATTTAAATAGTTTCCTTTTATTATAGACACAACTGCCATATGAATATCATGTCTGGATTACAAGCACGTCAGAATACACACACACACACAGAGAGAGAGAGAGAGAGAGAGGGAAGTGACTGGCCTAAAACTCCAAAAATGATATTAAACCAGGAGCCATCTAATAAATATTCCTACCTCTGCATCTGTTGCTTTCCTTAAACAAAATGAAAGACTGGGGGTGGGGGTGGGGGTGGGGAGATGAGTTTCGCAGAATGTCAGCGACTCTCAGAATCATTGTGTGGAAACTGCACAGACACCAAATTAATACAGGGAGACAAACTTATCAATTAGATAATTTTCTCTTCCTTCCACTGTGCTCAGTAGACCTTGTACTGATGAATAGCAAAGGAATGAAAGTAATACCCTGAGTCTCAAAGCACCATACAGGCAAGTTTTATTGAAATAAATGTTTTTGCTGTGACAGTAGTTTTAGGATCACAGTCTAAAACGTTTTTAAACGAACTGTCACTTAAGATGATCAGTTATTCCTGCATAACATTACAACCTAAACTACAGCAATGAAATTAAATATCTGCAGGATGGAACAATAATTTGAAAAGTGCTTTATAAATAATCATCTAATTTATCCTTCCACAGCCTTGTGATCATTCTTCCTATTTTTTGGAAGCTTTTGTTTGATATTCAAAAACAGGATCGAGTTCAGATCTGTACCTACCAAATAGATGCCTACTTTACAACCTTAACTACTACACAGCCAAACAAAATAATTCTAACAAACATATTTTTCCTCTTTAAGAAGAAAGCAGAAACTAGCCCTTCGGCTCAACTAGTGTAAATCACAAATGCAAAACATACAACTTTGAAGTCATAGTCCAAGTGGAGCTTCAAAACCAAATTGTTTTGTATTTCCATGCATGGCTAGTCGCTGTTGGGAATGATTCCCTTACCCCAACTGATGTGCTGGAAACAGTACAATTGCAGCTATCTGAAATACAGTTTTATGTTCTCAATTAAAAGTCAGCAGACTGGGTTTGGGCTCAGCTCACAAGTTGAAGGCAGGCAGCAACAGTTTGGGACATAAAAGCTTAATTCATAACCTAAGGTTTGGTTTCGTCTGGTTTTTACAATATGGTGATTTACGGCAAAATAGGATAAAATAATTCTTTACTCAGAATTCTGAAGTGTGTAGGAAACTACCAAAAAGAATAGAACATTCAAAGAATGAACTGACAAGACCACATAAGACCAAAAAGATCAATTGTCTGTAAAGAATGGAATTTAAAGCATGGTTATGAAATAACTTCAATAAAGGTGTTCAAAAGCTCAGAAATTTATAAAGTTAAATATTACCCTAGATGAGCCAAACCTGATATAAAGCAATAGTGTGTCCATATCTCTGAAGAGGTCCTTTCGATACCGGTACTACATTCCAGATGCTGCTTTCCAAATTATAACTAAAAAGGGTAAAAATAAATATATATAAATAAATAAATGTGTCAACCAAGGGAATTCTAAGTCTATAAATTTTGGAAACAAAATTATTATTTTCAGTTTAGTGATCATAACTATATAATTTGGGAATTAATTGTTATAATTGGGCTATTATTGGGGTTATATTTGAAAACTAATTTTAAAATATTAAAAATACAGATGTATTCTAATCATAAGATGGTATTTTGAATTCTATGAGCCACTTGATCGGCTATATTTCACTTCATTTAACTCTAAGAATATTACTAAGGTGAAATAATGAACTATAATTCAAGAGGACAATAACCAGAGACTGGGGTGAATGGAACTTAATTCCCTTTGTATAAAACAGATAATACAAGTAGCGAAAGTGTTCTCACAGTAGTTTTCTTTTCAACAGACAATGTCTTCATCTCGATTCCTAGTCTATTTGAAAGTTATCAGTATGAAAACCATAATATGTATGCTAGAACATACTCCCTCTTTTTCCTGAGCAGCAAAACGTCCAGGGGTAATGCTACAAAGTTTAGAATCCTTCGGACAAGACAGCCCTAAAGTTTAGGTTGATTTACGCTAGTGTGGGTGATGTATAGGGTAAATGCTATTTATTAAGTAACAATAAATTCACAAAAAACAGTAATGAAAGGCCAAGGAAATTACTTACTTTAATATCATTTGGAATGTGCTGTAGTTAAATGCATATCCCCCAATCACCCACATAAACTTTCCATGTAGAACTGCTTTATGCGAAGCTCGGCTTACAGATGGACTAAATGGCTTCACATTAGGTAGAATCCAGTATGACTCCGTTGAAGGAACATTCAAAGAACAATCAGGACCTGTGTATTAAAAAAATAAAAAATAGGGAGAAATAGTTACACCTGAGCTGTACAGCCTCCTAGGCAAAAGTGTTAAAATTATGTGAAGGTTAGATGGAAAAACTATGCTGACAAAAGCAACGTTCATTGTAGAAACTACTCTACAGATTCACTGAAGAACCATCCATACAAAAGTAAAATATTGTAAAATGGTTTTAGTAGTTGGGTAGAGAGGGAAGAGAGATAAATAATGTAAAGAGATAAAGATAAGTGGACAGTCATTGCAGAAGGCCGTATGATTTTTAAACAAAGGTTTACATAGGACCAGACTTTTAGGAATATAGTAGTGTGACGTTTATATGCTTTCTTAAAAAATAGGTTAGGTATGATGGCAAGCAAAAATGAAACAGTCCCATTTATTTAGGGGTTTTTTTCCAGCAAAATACTTCTTTTTCAATGTCTTTGGGCATATTAGTCTTTGTTCTAAAAGAAAATCTGAACAAACTTTAAAAGATTTGGCTATAAACTAAAATTCATTAGCTTGCTGAGAATTGAACAGAAACTTTGATATAACTTGTGGTGACACATTTGAAATTACTTCAATACACTTGCTACTCATTTAGAATAATAATAATAATAATAATAATAATAATAATAATAATAATAATAATAAATGAAATACACTATTAAAATGGTTCTGCCACCCAAACACTATCCTAAGACCATTACAAGCTGAATGGATCTGCCTTTGACATTCAGTTCAGTTCATGATCTTATATCATACCTATATTTCTACTTTAATAAAGGATAATGAATAGATCTTCATCTCTTCATCTCATCAGAACCCTAAACACAATCTAAGTTCTTCAATCAGATTTAAGACTACTGTGAGTTATAGCTGTCACATTTCAGCAACACCAAGCATTTTATTTATTTAAAGTTCCTGAGCTATACACACAACCAACAGTTACATGAATCAACATGTAAGCAATTATTCTTAACAGACTGATTACATTCTTTGGTTTACAAATTAAATCCTGGTTTTTAAAATTGCAAGTTGTCCCCTTACTTTTTTTTAATATGTTTAAAACCAAATGTATATTAGTTTTAACTTATGGAAGGGGTATTTTTGGAAAAACAGTGACACCAAGTGGTAAAATATATACAAAGCACTGAAACATACCAAGTTAAATAAACACGTTTTTACTTTTTTGTGTAACAAATTTTAAATAAGCAAGCCATAAAAATATTCAAGACACACATAGTGCCAGTGTCTGATACTACTTTGACATGGCATACAACATTTAGAGTAATTGTGAAAAATATTGAACTTTACAATTTATCTGAAAAAAGCGAAATCATGTTTTGTGTGGGGAAAATTCACTGAAATATGTGTGAATTAAAATATATGAAGTAGAGTAAAAGGTTGTGTACACAACAGGGTGTTAATATGTGCATGGGTTACATAGATCCAGTTTTTCCATGTGTGTTTTTGTTCACTTTTATTCACACATGAGCTCTTTCAATTAAAATCTATCTCAGTGTTTCCCATCCACAGATCCAAGCAGGCAGTGCTTAATGAGATGCATTTACACTGTGCGATGTAGTCCCATCCCTCAATTACTATTTCCATGACCTCTGGAAGTTCAGGAAACCTGAAGTCTGTTGTGGGTATGCAAACAGGATTTGTTTACCTATGCACCTATGCACGCAAACTTTTTTTTTTAAGGCCCATGGAATAGCACAATTATGAACTATCACCACAGCTCATCAAGAAATGCCTTGCCAAGGACAAAGAATGGTGAGGTAGATAGAGGAACAACAAATCTCCTGACTCTTCCCCCGCCAAGGTCATTGTGTTGGTTGGTCATTGTAAAAGGTCATTGTGTTGGTTGGAGAATAACCATACATGGCCAAGGCACGGTGGGGAAGAGCAACTGCAGGTGGGATTATAGAAAGTGTTTTTTCTTTTTCTTGCCCCTTTTCCTTTCCTGCCTACTATTAGCTGTGAGGGCTAGTTCTATTTTTATTTTAATGCAGCCATTTTCGACAAGAGCAGGTCTGCAGTTGTTTTAAAAAAATTAACAATGGTGAGAAATTGCATCCAGCAACAACCAGGGGCACTGGACACTATGTTCTTTCATTTGAGTGGAATAAAACAGAATAGCTAGGCTGTGCTCAGGCATTGAGCAAGCAGAACTGGGAGTTGTGGTGAAAGATAGCACCCATGAAAACATTGGCCTATATGTAACAAAACAAAACACAGTGTGATTTAATGCATCCACACTCCACCAATCAAGAAAAACAAATTTAAAGGGGGGAAAGTGTAGGCTGCCAGAGGGCCTTCTCGGTGGTGGCGCCTCCCCTGTGGAACGCCCTCCCATCAGATGTCAAGGAAATAGGCAGCTCTGTTTAGGGAAGTTTTTAATGTTTGATGTTTTATTCTGTTGGGAGCCACCCAGATGGTCGGGGTATAAATAATATATTATTATTATTATTGTTGTTGTTATTATTATTATTATTATTATTATTATTATTATTATTACTTGAATGGAGATGACACCAAAAAAAGGAAAGCCCATGAACCCATGGGGTGCACTGAATCCACTTTAAACTGCTCCCTGGAAAAGACCCTGATGTTCGGAAAGATTGAGGGCTCAAGGAGAAGGGGACGACAGAGGACGAGATGGTTGGACAGTGTTCTCGAAGCTACCAGCATGAGTCTGACCAAACTGTGGGAGGCAGTGGAAGACAGGAGTGCCTGGCATGCTCTGGTCCATGGGGTCACAAAGAGTTGGACACGACTGAACGACTAAACAACAACAACAAAGTGTGTGCATCCCAAAACTTAAATGGAAATAGATATTGTAATTGGTTAGAATGAGAGGTATTTTCTGTAAAAGAGTTGTTCATGGTGCACTAGGAATCTATTCACCACTGTTACACTGTAGTGTCTGCAGCCTCACATAGTGGACAGCATAAAGGCAAAATGAGCAGAGTTAAGTTGTGCAGACTGTCCAGATGCAAACTGTGCATCTGGCTGGCTCCACCATGTTTTTTACTGACACCAAAGTATAGTTTGGCCCCAGATAATCAACTAACTCTTTAGCAATTGTTGTCCATTTTTAAAAATCATTTATGTGTTGTATTTTTTAAGAAGAATATATTTGGTACTGCCAGAAAACCCATTGGCTGTACAAGAGTAACAGTATTATTAACTAACATATGTGTCAGGTATTTATGAACAGCTTGGCTTTTCATTTCCTGGAGCCTGTACATCTGTGTGATGCAGCTGATTGCACCTTTACCTGCAATAGTTTTAATCTACATGTGCTTGCTGCTCTCTCTTGAGTTTTAGGGGATGCCCTCTACGTCCCGGAGGGTGATTAAGCAGCAGGTATTTCTTGGTGGCTGGCATCATTAGGATAAAACACCAAAGATTTCTGCTGTGTGTCATGTGTTAGAAGGATAAACTCCTTAAAGGCTCTACCATGCTGCTGATTGTTCTCATGCTGGAAAACGCCTTGCTGGGATCAAAACAACCCTACAGCTAGTTCTATGTGCCCAAGAAAGTCCCTGGGTGCACCTAAATAATTTGCTTGGATCCTTGGTTTCTCTACATGTGTAGCTGGTGGTCCAAACTACAGAAATGAGCAGGCTTTTGTATTAAGTGAAGTGCTACATTAGTTGGACACCTCATGGGAAATGCCAAGAAGCCATTCAAAAACCTACATCAACAAAAATGCCTAAAAGAGGCTACTAAAATTTATTTCAGGATTATTTTACCTGATGTTTTCCTAGCACATGTATAACTTCTGTTCTTGATGAAGCAATTCTGAGTGCTGCAAGCATAACTCTTGTTCAAATACAGAACAACAAATATAGTTTAGAGAGAACAATAGGGCAAATAAGAACTAAAGGATGAAAGGGAAAAGAGAAAAGATGATTTCCTTCCATTCTCCCACTAAATGTCACTTACCTTCAGAATGTGAGCGCTTTGAACTGAATATGTCACCATGTCCACTTATAGCTGAAGGTGAAACAAACAACAGATCTGCTTTCTTTGAAATTCACCTACAGGTAAAGACTGACAAGTGGGAGCTGTAGGCAATCTGACTTTTACAAGCTGGCTTTTTGTTACTTCACTTTTCTGTAGATGCTAGAAATGTGGTGTCTTGTGAAGTTTTCCAGAAACGGATTTAGCCATTTGACCCCTAGTTCTATACTTCTTTGGGAGGAAAGTCTATGTGTTTGAGAAATCTTTCATTTGATATCTCAGCTATGCCTCTGCAGAAACAGAAAGCTATCCACATAAAATCTAAGCTCACTATTAACATACTTTTATATATACTTTTGTAGCATATTTCAACAAACGGTGTATCATTAAACTGCTATAGTTTTTACAGTTTTTTCTTCCATAGCAGGGAAAAAACCAGAGGAGTCGGTACTGATGTAGTGTGTTACAGCAGTGGTTCCCAATTAGCTAAGTAATATAAACCCCCCGTTTTTCAAAAGCCATGCCATGGACCCTCCAATTTTGAAACTTTCAATATCTCTTATGATAGATTTAGTTATGTGAATGGTGCCACGGACCTCCTGGGTGCATTATGTGGACTCCTCGGGTCCACAGATCCCAGTTGGGAACCACTGTGTTATCGAGCATCAGACTAGGACATGTCGTAAAGGTAAAGGGACCCCTGACCATTAGGTCCCGTCGTGGCCGACTCTGGGGTTGCGGCGCTCATCTCGCTTTATTGGCCGAGGGAGCCGGCGTACAGCTTCCGGTTCATGTGGCCAGCATGACTAAGCCGCTTCTGGCGAACCAGAGCAGCGCACAGAAACGCCGTTTACCTTCCCGCCAGATCGGTACCTATTTATCTACTTGCATTTTGACGTGCTTTCGAACTGCTAGGTCGGCAGGAGCAGGGACCGAGCAACGGGAGCTCACCCCGTCATGGGGGTCCGAACCTCCGACCTTCTGGTCGGCAAGTCCTAGGCTCTGTGGTTTAACCCGCATGTCATACCAGGGATTAAATCCCCACACAGCCCCACAAATCCCCACACAGCCATGAAACTCACTGTGTGAGATTTGGTCAGTCACCATCTCTTAGCCTAACATACTACTTAACAGGGTTGTTGTGAGGCTAAAATGAGGACGAGAATCATGTATACCATCTTGGCTCCTTGAAAGAAAGGTGGGTAGTGAGGAGGAGGAGGAGGAGGAAGAGGAGGAGGATGTCAACATTGTGGATCATGATGCTGGCATATATATATATATATATATATATATATATATATAATTGCTTTACACCAGAGACTATATAAGCAATGCATACATCTTGTAATAGATTTTCAAACATAACTGCTGTGATAAATTATATACTGCTTGTCCTTCTGATGTGTCATCCAAAATAAATAATTCCTAGAGAGTTCAGCCTGACTCCTAAGTTACTCTTTCTATTCACATAGTAGGAAGTGTTTTCTGCCAACTTCCTTCTCCTTTGGCGACATAAGAAGCTGCCTTATACCAAACTAAAACACTGGTTCAACTACAGCATCAGCTTTACTAACTCTTCCCATACAAGTCATAGTTCCTGCCTCCCCCTCCCTCTCTACTTTCTAAAATTATTTTTTGAATCTGAGCACAGAGTACTAAATTTAAAACAACCAGTGTCTGAAGTTAAAAATTAGTTACCCTGGTGTCATACTTAACTTCAGAGACCATTAGAGCTAAGAATGCATATAGCTATATAGGTGTGTGTCTGTGTTAAAAGTAATTTTCACGTTCCAGTACTTTGGACAGCTCCTTATCTTCACAGGCCAACTAAAGAATGGTGAGATGAATGTAAAAGGAGATCCCCTCAGCTGTGTCACGATTTCATGCCAGTGATGGGAAATATTTTTCCTTCCAAGAACCAGAAAGAATGGCTCCATGGGCCACTTCAAAGCAGCATACTGTCAGCACAAATTAGTTGATAAATACAGATAGCAAACCTGGCTTTTGCTATTTGTAGGTGAGATTTGAATTCAAACTACACCTGCAAATGGACATATTTCCTCTGGTGAATAGCAAAACTGTTTGCAAAGGAAAAGTGTCCAATTGCAGAAGCAGTCAGAATCCCAACTATGCCTGAAAACGGACTGATTTAATGGAGGTAGTTAGTGCTGTGAGCAAGCCCTGCTTACCAAGGAAAAATCAGGAGAGTACTTTAAGGACCCCTGTGTTTACCAGCCCTAAAACTGAAATTATGTATGATATCAGCTGTAAGGCAGGTAGTTGTGCTTTGGTGAAAATGGCCTACTTTGGTCTGTGAGGCCAGAGGTTTCTGACCACTATTTTATTTTATGATAACACAGGGCCTGAAAAAGCAGAATTCTTAATACATGCAGATTTCTAGTCAATCACAACATCATTTCCTATACAATCACAATCCAATAAAATTTGAATATTCCAATGAAACATTAGCACTTGACCCTACAGCAGTTCTTGAATCTAGAGCCTAGGGAATAACAGAGAGTCTGTACACCCATCACAAAACTCAGTACAAAAGAAGGGAACTACAGATGACACACCTAATAGCTTGTAGTCTTTGTAAATTGCCTAGCTCCAAAGTTGACATTATGGTTACTATGGGTGTAGTGGTGCTCTTAAGGACATTCCTGCTCAGACTTCCCATAGGCATCCAGTTTACCACAGGAAGAAAAGGATTCTAGACTAGAATGGCCTAGACCAGCAAGCTTTTATAATGTCGCTCTGGTATCTGCAAAGCCTCTGAGCTCCACTTCCCACCCCCACCATCCACTACTCCCTTTGTCTTGAGGATGGTTACTTTTTCCCCCCTTGGAAAATATATAGATCTGAAGGGAGGAGTTGGAAGAACACCACTCTTGCCCACATCCTTTTTCAGTTCCGTGTGCTTTTCAAGGTTCAGATCAGCAGTTCAGATCTGAAATGTACATAAAAATTGACATGGGAGCAGCTGGAAGGAAGGGGGAGAAATCTGAGAGAGGGAGGGAGTATAGATAGTATTGTCCCATTGCATACTCCCAGAATGTACCAAATGTACCCAAGGGTCAAAAAAAATGTACCAAATGTACCCAAGGGTCAAAAAAAGAAAAGAAAATAAAATAAAAGGAAAGGAGAAAAGATTGACAATATATGGTATTAATTATGGTCAATCTACTATATGAAGTGGATATAATTTTATGTCTGAGTTGCTCCTATGGAATTCAGAGACAGTAGTAGGGAAAGCACTACAAATACTTGAGTGCAAGTATTTGGATTTCTTATCTGCAAACTTTTTGCTGTTTTTTTGAGTACAGATAGGGGAAGACATGCAGAGGATGGCTGAAAAGCAAAAAGCTACATTTCTTTCTATTCTTTCTGTATATCCCATCTTTAGTATTGCTATTCTAATGCATGTTAGATATAGTAAGCTAGGGATTACTAAGTATCTATACAAAAACCTTGAAAGGACAATATTACAGTGAATACTGAGCTACCATATCAGAAATATTTTTTGCTTTTAAACGAACTTTTTAGAAGGTGCCTGAATACTAATTTTATTTTCTTTCATAATTCTGTTTACTATACTAGATGCTCATTCCAAAGTATCCACCAGATGTCACAATTGCTCAGAAAAACACAGTACAGTACTAAATATTCTCTTTATACCCTGCACTAAAAGGTTTATTACCAAGCCCAGATAGCAGTTCAGCACCTTCACAGCTTCACCTGATACAGCTGACAAGGAGACTAATGACACCCATCTCCAGATGCCCCAATGACCTCACCCAGCAACTTCATATTGATGTTAAAGAACCTGAAGGATAAGATGGAACTCTGCAGGAAATCAAAAACTCAAAGTCTACTGGCTGAAGCAGAAATCCCCCAACACTGCTTTTTGAAACCATCCCTACAGGTAACAAGTGGAACCACTGTATCACCATGGCTTCCAACCCAGACCTGCAAGGCAGGCCTAACAAGGTATCGTGCTTGAGAACATCCAAAGTTATACATCAAGGTTTCCAAACACCAACCTAAACCCAGAATGAATTCAGTCTAGATAATCTATTTCATCCAAGCACACCTAGATAGCTGCCAATCTCTTGAGCACCGCACACAGAAAGGAAATATCTGTGATTGTAACAACTAACACTCAACCTTCAAGATCAAGTGAGAGTATCTTAAGAAATGGTTTCCCAATCACTACCTTCATATCATTTCAACATCAAAATATTAGCTCCTAACATTGGAGTTAAGTAGGTTCACCTGTCAAATGCAGCTACTGCTCCACAGCCTGGGAGCTTCTGCTTACCATGACATTTCCTGACTGTTTATAGTTACACATAAACTCAGGCTTCAAACAGTATAAAAGAGTCCAAGAGAGAATGGCTAAGGCATTATCCATGTAAATAAAATATGGCTGAAGGACACCTGTCAATTAAGTGATACTCTATGGTAGGGAATTTGCAGAAACATGCTCAATGAGTAAATGACCCTAATTATGTGGGGATAGAATGCATGTTAAAAGCCACTGGTGTGTTTATTAGTTTGAAGAAAAAATAGAAAACTGAAGAGGTGTACTTAATATATTCCAAAGGTGCCATTAAAATAGTTGCATATAAAATAGGTTTCCCAGGTTAAGGTAAATTGGATTACTCAAGCAACAAGCTGTAGGAAATCTATTTAAATGTTTAACCTGATCCATCTTGAGGCTAAGGGACAAGTTCTTAATCCAGAGGCTCTTGCTTTATTTGAATGACAGAGGATGAATAAGATGTCATTCTGAGTTCTCGCCTAAGTGCAGGTAGCAATAATTTGGAAAACAAATAAATAATAGACGCTCTGGACATTTCAAGTAGGGCAGCAGCTTTCAGGAAAGATTTTTCCAACTCACCTTGCCAGCTGTCATTGCACACACAGAGTTTCTCTCCAGTCAAATCACAGTAGCCATGATCCGGACTTCCACAATTAGCTTTACAGTAAGGAATATCACAGGATTCTCCCTTCCAGTATTTGTCACATTCACAATACACTTGGCTTGGAATGGAGCTACTAGTTGTACACTTTCCATGCCCTGAGCAATTATTGGGACATGAATTTATTCTGTAATAAAGAAGATCAGAAGAAAGAAAGGAAATGGAGAAATGACACGCTGATTTTCAGGCCTTTATTTATACTTTAATATAATTGGGGGGGAAATCATTTCATGAAAGAGAAAATGGTTTCTAGCTGTAACCTTCAAACTTCTTACATCAGTGTTATCTCACAGAAGTCAAATGGAGCTATCTGATGAGCCATTCAAACGGCAAAATCAGAATTAGAAACAAATTATACTATGATAAGCAAAATATCAAGAGGTCATTCAAGAGGTTATGTTTTTATATTTCCAGTCTAGTATCTTATTATACTGTTATAAAGTTAGACCTAGAGGGGCAAATCTGAATAAGCAAGTGGCAAGCCAAGAAAACAATGGACGCAAAATACACTTTTCTTTCAGCTGAAAACGAACATGACATGGATTTCAGCTTCATTGCAAGTGAAACAATTATTTGCAGTATTTTTCTTTTGATAGTTTCCATGCAGGAAATTTATTATATTCAATGAGTTCTTAATGTCATAACATTTTAATGCTAGCCTTACACTATCCCTCAAAATATGATTATTATATTTATTGATCAAGGAATGAAAGGGATAAAATAATGTATGTGTAATGTGCAAAGAGCCAGACTATTAATATCTTACTAATAAGAGTAATCTTCTCAGTTTGGTAAAAAGAACAAATCTATTCCAAGACCAGGGCTGCATATAGACTTCAGGGACACTATCAAGCCTGAGCCTATATTAATAGACCTCAAAGGCCAATCCCAGTACAACGTACCCTGTAAAGACCAGAGCTTGCTCCTCAGTCCCTCCAATCTGTCTCTAGGATGCAGGAATTTAGCTAGGTTTTACTTCTGTTTGTCTTTAATTATCTACCTGCTTCTTATTTATTTTATTTACTGAATTGGTACACTTCCCTTCTCAGGTGGTTCACAAGATAAAAACACAAAATACATGAACAAAACAACAGCATCCCCCCAGCAACACATTTAGAAGGGTATAGGATGTTAATCAGCCAAAGGCCTGGTTAAAGAGAAATGTTTTTGCCTGGTGCCTCAAGGCGCCTGATGAACTTCCCTGGGCAGAGCATTCCACAAATGGGAAGCTGCTGCAGAAAGGGCCTGTCCTCGTGTTGCTACCCTCCAGACTTCTCATGGAGGCGCCATATATAGAAGGGCCTCAGATGATGATTGCAGGGTCCAGGTAGGTTCATATGGAGAGAGGCGGTCCTTAAGGTATTTTGATCCTGAGCCGTTTAAGGCTTTATAGGTTAAAACCAGCACTTTGGCTGCCAATTATTTTCTGGGCCAAATTCAATGTAGTAGGCATAATACCCTCAAACTGTCTTACCCTGGTGAGCAACCTGGCATCAAATGTTGCATCAGCTGAAATTTCCAAACCATCTTCAGATGCAGCCCTACGTTGCTTCTGACCCTTCAGAACTTTGTTTGCCTTCTCTGAAATCCAATTTCTGGCTGTTTGGGATCATGTTTTTGTCTCTGGACCACTTGGGATGACAGCCAACTCCCCTGGGTCCTAAAACTCCACTTCTTAGAGCCTGGCCTCACTGATGTATTTTTACCAGGTGGTAACACTTGCTGACTGCAGGATACTACCAAGCACTTAATATTTTTACCACAGATTGATAAAATTATCCTAAGAACTTGATAGGATGGTGCAGATAACTGGTTTACCAAGAATTTACCCACAAACTATACTATAGTATAGTAGAATTTACCCCAGACATAGTCAAACTCGGCCCTCCAGCTGTTTAGGGACTACAACTCACATCTAACAGGACCAGTGGTCAGGGATGATGGGAATTGTAGTCTCAAAACATCTGGAGGGCCGAGTTTGCCTATACCCGATTTACCCCCTTGGTAAACAGCATCAGCTAAAGTCAGTGTAGTAGTTCTAACCTGTTTTCTTATGAGATGCTTAGGGAGACTGGCATGGATAAGTTGCTATACCTGGCAATGTATTTCCCTTGCAGACAGATGTAAAGAGGTCACTCACATTAACCTCCTAGCACTGTGCTGGGTGTAGCATACCTTCACAACCCTAGGCCAAGGGACCCACTCTAAAAGCCATTCCAGCCAAGCTGTCTTATCTACTCAAGGTCTACAAACATTACTAATATACAATGTCTTGACCTGATTTGTTCATATCATATTAAAATCCTTTTGTTCTACCTGATTTAATTTGTTCCACAATAAATTATCACACAGCCTCATAAATCAACAACTCAGTCATGGAAGAACACAATATTTATACTAATTGTTGTTCCTGAAAGAACCTTTCTGATTGCATTTCTTCTCATGAGCATCTTTATATGAATTTGTATGAATTCTAACCCATTCTTTGCCAAACTCCCAATTTGCATACGACCTCTTCAAATATCGTAAGCCCCAAAACTTATCTACTAAGAGAAATATATCTCTGCTGATTAATAAACAACAAAATGATACTTACGAGTAAAAAATATTAAATCCTGTTAGATTATAAGCAGCATCACTAAAAAAGTGTAGCAATGCATATCCTGAAGTAGTAACAACTTCAGGTACAGTTTCATTTCCACGTACTTCAGGAACTATAAGACCACTGCAAAAGATTAAAAATGAGAAGGTTTACGTAACGAGTAACATTGCAAATAAAAAAAATAAGAATGTGAATAATTCAGTGGGTGTTCAGTACAATTTGGAAACATTCCAGAATTTCATTCCATTGCCCTGATTGAAGCAGAGTGTAAAAAATACAGAAATTCATGCATTCTTAATGGGACTGTGTCTTTTTTCTTAATTAAAAGAGCCTGTCTCAGATTTCTATGCACTGCAATTGAAATACTATATTAGGAAAATTCTTCAAAACATTTCAAAAAATACTAGTTTGTATGAAAATAGCTATTGGTGTGAAAAGATTGCATGATAAATTAAAATATGTCGAAAGCAATATTTACTCTTTCCTACATTAAGTGTGAAATGCTTGGAACCAAGTTCATGTTGAAAGAATAGAAAAACAGTGAAGGAACTTTTAGTTTCAATCTGTTTGTTTCAAAATGTACTGAGCTGACTTGAAACCAATAAAAATAACCATGTTCATAATTATATTTAGGGTTGGAAGAACTGTGCAGGATGGAATGCATAGAAAAGTCAAATGTGGTAAACTTTTAAGAACATGGGTTCACTCAAGGACTGATTAAAAACTGAACATGCCAATCCATGGTGGAGAACCACTAGCCCCCGGGCCTAATTGGGCCCAGCGGTGTTCCTCATTTGGCCGGCAAGGCCATTTTGGTCAAGCCACACCCACCTGTCCTACAGCAAATTTAAACTGTAATGCTAAATTTCCATTCACACAAAGATTTTCATAAAATTGTAATAGAAGCTATTAAGCTAAAGTACTTACCTAAATACTGCTATTAAAGGTGCATATATTGAATCTCCATCATAAACATACATATGGTCCCAACTACATTCTGTGGCAAAATGATTAAATCTTAGTCTTAAAACTGAATTAGGACTAAAAGAGAAGGAAAAAAAAACAGCAAGAACGTTAGCAATAGTCTGTTCAGAAATAGCGTAGCTTATAATACAATGTAAATAAATATAAGGATGCAATAAAGTAGTATGAAAAATGCAAGTATTATTTTCAAATGCAACTGTAAGCTTTCTTACTTATAATTGTGCATGAAAGCAACAGTTTTGTATGTACAGCATTACTATTATTTTATTTTATTTTATTAATTAAATTTGTATACTGTCCGTCATCCGTAAATCTTAGGGTGATTCAGAACATAAAAATACAAAATACATTTTTAAAAAATCAATAAACCTCAAATTATTATATTTACATACTGATTAATAGTAAACACCTATCTTACTTGTAAGTATATAAGAAAATGCTGTTAGTTCACTATCTTAAGTAAATCAGAGTTTATCAACCTGAGAACAAGCTATGCAGCTGTATGTCGTCCTCCCACAGGGGCACCATTGGGGGGGCCAGGGGACCAGCCCCCATATAATCAAGGAGGAGCCTGCCCACCGCCCAATTCCACAGCACTACTCAAAAGATTGTGCCAGGGCAAAGCGTCTTTGCACTGGCGAAACCCTTTGACAAGCCAGGGTGCCTCCCAGGAAAGTGCTCTGTCAATCTCCGCCAGGGACATACCAGTGTGAAATGTCTTCGCGCTGGCGTGTCCCTTTCAGGATTTCCAGGGCGCCTACCAGGAAACCGTTCTGGTGATCTCCACCAGGGATGCACCAGTGCAAAGTGTCTTTGTACTAGCACGTCCCTTTCACAATTGCCTGGGGGAAGGTGCCTGGCGATCTTGACGGGCCTCAAGGAGGAGGAGGAGGCGGCCTTGCCGAGGTGGCCTTGACCTTGCGGCAGTGAATGAAAAAAAAGGTGGCTGGTGATGGAGGAGGTGGGAAACTGTCCGGCCAAGTTGGCCTGGCCAGGTTGGGGAGCAGCATGTATGTGACATCATGCATGTGCAACAGCCCAGCCCAGCCCCATGTTGGGGGCAACTCAGCACGTCCGTCTTCCCATTTCTCTTTTTCTCAACTTTCTGCACCTAGCTTCAGAAAAGTTATTTTAGTTTTTTAAACCACAGTTTTCCATGAACTGGTTAGCTGTGGTTCAAAGACCCCCTCCAAATGTGGATATGAATCCATAGCTGAGGGAGAAACCTAAAACCATAGCTTCCCAGTTCAGACATTATGGGAAACTATTATTTAAGAAACTAATAATAAAATTGTATACATGACGATTCAAATGTAAGTCTCACAGATATCAGTAGGGCTTACTCTCAGGTAACCAGGTTCAAATTTCAAGCAGAGAATGTATGGGGAGAGAACGAAGAGGAAGTGTAGGGGCAAAAAGCTTGTTCCCATAAAACCATGGCATACTGAACCAGGTCTAGGATTGCTGGAACAAGCTAGAGAAATGCACGTGCAAAACAGAAATCAAAAGTATTAGAATTGAGTAATCAGTTATTGCAATTTTCATCTTTAAGTATATTAATTTCAGTGCATGGTAAATTTCAAGTGTAACACATCCATTAACTGTGGTTCGGAAGCAGCTAAATCAATAAAAGCCATTTTCAGATTAAGGATATGCATGGAGCTGGCACCAGTACCTGGCATCCTTGGCCTGGCACACTGGTACTGACACCTGTTTTGCTCTCTCAACCACCTGTTCTCTAACTGCAGGATTGCATGGTGGCGGCAGCCTGGTCTAGGAAACTGTCCACTATGTTAAAATTGCCCAAAACACCCAACACAGCATCTATTTCAGAAACTGTGGGGAACTGAAAGAAATTTAACATGACAAGTGACTACCCAGCCTCTGCTGCAAGGTAAGCCTGAGGCGGGCATGGCATTCATACTTCAAGCTGGACCCAGGCATGCAACAAACATTAGTGTTAAGTCCTCCTGGTCCATGATGCATTTCTGATTCAACGTTCAATGCAAAGCTTCCCTATTCCCGTTTTCAAAATTAAGCTGGAATAGGAAGTGTCCTGATTTGGAAATTCACCAGGAGATAGTGAAACTTTAGAGCAAACATTAGTAATTGTTTATCAAGGGGAAATGTTACACAGAACAATACTCTTTGCATAAAACTATGCTGTGAAGTTAAAAGCCTAGTTTATTACAGTGTTGGAGAACCAGTCCTCCAGATATTGTTCAATTACAATTCCCATCATCCCTTATAACTGGCCATGCAGGCTGGTACTTATAGGAGTCCAACAACATTTGGAGGGCCACCAAATCCCCAGCCTTGGTTTGCCAGAAGATATTAATGTAAAATATATACTTACTATCCTTCAATTAACCATGTACATTTAGTTTTGTATTTATAATTTATTGGTCCATCTGTTAAATATCCAGAAGGTTCAGTTAACCTACAAAAGAATAAACCAGGAATAATTAGCCTTATAAGCCCATGTATTTTCCTCTCCTTAAGAACATACCTATATATAAATATATATTTAACTTTAGTAAAAATGTGTTTCAAAAACACAAACTTAATTGACATAAAAATATTTCCTACATTCCTCTTGTTAATATTTCTCAGCTGCTTGCCCTAAAGTGACTTGTAGTGCAATAATAAAAATATAATAAAATAATATTAAAATAAAAGGTGAAAAATATCTGAACAGGTCTATTATGCATCGAATCCCCTAAAAAAGTGTGTATTGTGGAATAAACTAAGGTGGGTGGTCTTAGTATTGACCTATCTTCAATGGCCATTATCATGTGTCCTGCTAAAATATGGTTTAGTGTGATGTGCATGAACAGGAACAACCACAGTGTGCCTTAGGCTCTGTTACAGAAACCCTCCTATATGGCTGGGAGACATTCAAAATCTCTCACTTCTGCTTTTGGTTAACCCCTACTTGCCATGTTGTCCAGACTCAGAATTATGGTTTAGACTCAGAATTAATATTATCAATGGTTAGTTAAACAAGCCATTAGAAACCAAAGTTTGAAGACAGCTTGGTTTAAACTAACCACAGTTAAATTATAACTGTTGGTCCATGCAACAACAAAAACCATGAGTAACCAAACACAGAGACTTCCAAACCCTTGTCTCAGTCACATGCAAGGAGAAAGAGATAGGGAAGCGTGCCACTTATTCCTGCTTGTGCAAGGCATGTTAAAACCATGTTTAGTGTGGCATATAAATACAAGCAGTGGTCATTTAGTGCACATCCCTTTCAAACAAATTGGTCCATAATTATATGGCCAAAAAGCATTTGGAATTGCATTAGGAACACTATGAAGATGATGAGCATGGATAAGAAGAGACGGAAGGAAGACAGATGTGGTGGCAGCAGTGGCTGACAACTGATGAAGAGTGAAGGGGTCAACCTATAAGTAAACACATTATAATATAAATCATATTTAATACGTTATTTGTCTTGAACTTTTAAGTATGAATCCTTCCTCTCTTTGTTCCATACCAATACTTGATATGCTATGTGTAAAACGAATAAAGGTGTGAAATAAATGGTAGCAGAGGAACAATAAAGCTGTAAAGAATGATGGTGTTAAGATTCAAGATTTAGTCTGGTGGCAGCTGGTATAATTAAAAAAAAAAACATTTTCTGATTAAGTGGAGGAGCTGAAGTGACAGTAAGCCCAAATATGCATTGGACCCAAACAATTTATAAATCAAAATCAACACTTTGCATAATATCTGAAATATGACAAGATACCATTGTAAAGCATTAAAGAATGCTGAAGTTCCATTTCCTCTCCTGAGACAGGTAGCAGTATTTTGAGGCATATGAAGCTTCTATATAATTTTCAAGAGCAATAGAGCATGTGGAAGTAATCAATCCAAAATAATTACCAATGCATAAATTAAAATACACCGCCAGTGTATCATTTGTGACCCTATTTGAAACCTTAGTTATAGTAAATAAACTCATATATTGTCTGCATGCTGTCTCATTTCCCCACCACTCCTATGGAATTGCTCCTATGGGTGAAATCAACAAGGCAGCACCCTTAGAAGAGACTCACCATGTATAGCATTAGCATAGAATACTTTGAGAAGTGCACAGTATTACTTTTTTATACTATACTATACTGATAAAGGCCTGCAAATGGTAAATATTTGTTTTTGTGTGAGAAGAAAAATTCTTCAAAATATTTACTTTACAAGCTGGGGGGGAAATGGTCTGGTTGGTCAATCATAAATATTTCCATAGAGTAATATTTTGCTTTTTATTTGCCTGAGGATACTTTACCAGCCAAGGTAAATTTAAACAATTACATATAGGCAATAGAAAGATACTGTTCTCATGAAGCTAGTGCAAAGAAAAAAGATAAGTTGACTGTCAAATCAGTACTGCATTGAGACAGCTGCAGTCGCAAAGGATGAATAAAGACAGATAAGCAATTATTTTTGACAGAAGTTTAATACTGCCGGTGAACGACTAATGAAATAAAAAAAGTCACTTAAACAGAAGACTATTGCAAAGTATCAAAACAGAATTACTCCTTTAAGAAAACTTGTAATGAATTTCCAACCTGCCTCTGAGGGCTCATTGTGGGTACCAACACACCAAAGCAGCTCAGCAAGCAAAATATAAAAATGGTTCTGGAAAATATGGAATACTATAGAAATTCATTACAGTGTCCCTGGTTAAACAGACAGGAACATATTAAAAGCCAGCTAGATCATTGGACGGGACAGGTGGGCAGGATCTTTCTTTTTAGCAAGCCCTTCATTTGTTTGAAAGCACATCATTTAATCAAGATTTCAATGCAAACCTCATCATGAAAAAGGAATGAGTTTGCATCAGAATTCCCTGCTAAAAGGAACAATATTTGCTTTAGCAGGCATCTGCATAGAATTCTGCCAAACTGAGCAGAGTTTAACCCCTGCTTATCGGCTGATGCCGTGTGTGTGTGTGTGTGTGTGTGTGTTAAAACCTGTTGCCTTGGCTGTACAACCAATGCAGGATTTAACACTGTCCTATCACCCAACAGCTGGGGGAAATGGCCTTGGTTGTCAAACTGGGAAGCTTGGCAGGGTTAACCTGCTTTAAAGAGTTAGAAGTTGTAACTCCACTGGACACTACTAAAGTTGTGGCATTCATTCAGTTTGGACCATGGCAAAGGATGTTAGGAGTTGGAACTTAACAATATCTGGAGGGACACAGGTTCCCCATCCCTGATTTAATAGGTAAGGTTAATTAGGGCTGCCATACGTCTGGACTTTCCCAGACATTACTGGTATTTCAAAGGCGGAATGTGGATCTTAAGCAAGTCAATCGAAAATCGCTCAACAACTATAGCAACCCTATAAATTAAAACATATTTTCTTTTTACTTCTCTTAAATAAAACAGCACTGTGTTTTTTTATATTTAAACTTCTGGACAGTACAGTTTTACAGACGGTGGGAACTGTTATTAATATAGTAGTGCTAGTTCTCTATTGGGACAAATGCAATAGAAAGTTCTAATCAATAGCTATTGCCCTCAAGATTTTGGACCCCAACACACACACACACACACACACACAGAGAGAGAGAGAGAGAGAGAAAGAGAGAGAGAGAGAGAGAGAGAGAGAGAGAGAGAGAACACAATCATGTTTTTCTTCACTTGCTACTCTGCCTCACTGGTTTCAAGCGCTTGGCTTAGTTCTTTCTGGAATATGCATGTCAATCTTCAAAGCCATCCCTGTACAAGCTGCAAATAATTACCATTGATAAAATTACACATACCCTATTGGATGTGATAAAAAGGCTAGTTATTTGAAATAACCAAATACTTTTTCTAATTTTTTTTTATCTCGCCATTATGTACAAGGTTACTTTAAATTTTATGCAACAATAATTCTATCATCATGTGTAAATCAAATATTCTGGTTACAAGACCATTATTATACTGGAAGGCCTGTAAGAGATTGACAAAAACATTTAACCCATTCCTGTATTATGTTAATATACAAGATGTACATTTCCTTAAATAAATTAGAAACATGGCTGCAAGTTTATATAATCAATGAAACTTAGAACCAATTCACACAGTAAGTATCTTCTGCATGCAAGCATTCCAGGCTCCTCCTTGGTCACACATGTGCCTTCGTGGAATACAAACTGGGCTGTAGGTTTTTCAGTGAATATGGCACCTGAAAACACTGTAGTCACAATATGCTTCAGCAAATGCTCTAGCCACCACCAAAGGGGAAATGCGCAGCTGTATGACCAAGGTGACCAATGAACCTTGAGCGAAGAAGGCCAAACTAGCAAGCCTATTCCTGGCATCTAGGCATTTTCTGCTCCTAAGGAGGGGTGAATATAGGACACAGCTGCCTGAACAAACTCACAGCGCTTGCAGGCAGTGGCACTCAATCCTTCAGGAAAGGTCAGGCAAGGATCGCTTCCGCATCACTGTCTCAAGGTGCATAGAGCACTTTCTAGCAGCAGCACCCAACAGTGCATGTTTCCCCCTTTTCCTCGAGAAATATTGATAGGGTGCTGACAACTACAACAGATTGCATAACCAATATCTCTAGACAAAACCTGTGCACACTTGATTATAATGGAATAGCTACCAGCGGTTTCCAAGCCTGATTCACATTAATACTCCCCATCCACCACAGGGGTACTCAAATACAGTGGTACCTCTAGTTACGAACTTAATTCGTTCCGGAGGTCCGTTTTTAACCTGAAACTGTTCTTAACTAGAGGCATGCTTTCGCTAATGGGGCCTCTTGCTGCTGCTGTGCCACCGGCACACAATTTCCGTTCTCATCCTGGGGCAAAGTTCTCAACTCGAGGTAACTCTTCCAGGTTAGCAGAGTTTGTAACCTGAAGCATTTGTAACCTGAGGGGTTTGTAGCTCGAGGTACCACTGTATAGGAAAATTTGACTGTATGAACTGTATGAACTCAGCTATATGGTTTTAGCTGAGGTTAGATATAGGTATAAATATATATAGGTATAGACAAACATACATATAAAACAATTAATTTCAAAAAGCATAATGTGTATTATTAGATTCATATACAAATTACTTGCAATAGAAACATCTCCTTGAAGCAGTAGCAAGGTAGCAGGTGCACTACAACATGAGCTTTCAAAAACATGGAAAGGACAAAAATTCCAGTGTTCTCAGAATATAACCACTATAAACATTACCAAAAAAGCCCAGCACTGCACAAGTGAAGGTTCATATAACAAAATAGGTCAAGTTTCAGCACCTGATATATGGACTAAATGAAGTGCTGACAGTATCCAAGCACACTTCTCCATTCCTTAAATAATTTATCTCCAGCAGAAATCAATGAAAATCTAATAGTATTCTGCTGTATCTCAAACAAGCCAGTAGAAACTCAGCTCAAACTACAGTACTCCCAGCTTTGTATGTGTTGTAAGCGAACAAT